AATATAATCATATATACTAGAATTTACTGCGTATTGTTGTTTTTATACATAATATTATTTCATTTTTATTAGGGTAAAACTAACAGCTTATTTATTTAAACACTAATTATGCAATAAATGATTCATATGTGGAAATTTTTCTCTGTTTTTATTATTCCTAATAACATCTTATTTGATAATAATCTTTATGTAATTTGACATCATTATATTATCTTATCCAGCATTAAATAAAAAAAAATTTATATATGCCATAAAATTTTCCGACACTTTTGTGAAGCAGTATATGCATAAATATATATATATATATATAATTGCATGCTACATTCAATGCATTAATTACAAGAGGCGAATTGATATTACTTGTGAGATCAAGATTATTCACGCAATTATTAAGTATAAAGATTAGTTTTTTTTTATTTGTATCATTTAAAAGCTGACTACTCAACACGTGTGATTGTAGTAACCATCCGACATCAATAGTTGTAACTTGTGCAATACATCTCGCAAACACAAGAATCGCTTATAAAAGGCAACTTTTTTTTTACGCTTCTAGCAGCGCGAAATCAATGAATGCATAAGATCAAAGTGTAATGCTATAATTAGCTAATGCTATAATATACAATTGAAGCATTTAACACATCACATCACATATATATTATTTACGTCCTCAGGTATACAGTGTAAACACCGGCTCTTCAATTAATTAAAGGTGGACTGCTAATTTTACAGTGTTCGGCAAAATGCTGAAAGCAAACGATAAAAGTGACACAACAAGGATACTGGACGATGACTACAAGATCCATATGCAGGAATCGAAAAAACTATTGAAACTCGACAAGTCGCAAATATGCATTGAATTTAATGATATCTGTTATTCAGTTCATCACGGATTTAAAGGCAAGTTTATTTCGTCATCCTATATTTATGACAATCGCGGTTCTGTACATATTAAGCAGCATTTACAATGATTTGCATATATCATAAGAAATTTATCAATCATAGTCGATTATTCTTCTCAAATTTGTGAGATAGACTAGATAATATTTACGGCTTAAGACTTAAAACTTAAGTTTTACGCATTAAAATCTCATAGACGCCGTTATATATATAAAGGTCTGTTCTTTTTGACTGAACTAGTATATTTGTACTTAAAATTAAAAATTCTCAAATTTTTATAAAACTAACAAAGGTTTTCTAAAGCTACGTTCCTAAATTCTTACTTTATTTGATTATATTAAATATATTACGTTTAACATATCTATAAATAATATATTCTATAAATAATATATCCATTATTTTTTAAGAAATTTTTATGATTTAAGACACACATTCTAGAGCTAAAAATTAAATTTATTTGTAATTTATTATATATATTAATTAATGTGTATATTTTTTATGTTTGTTTAAAATTTATTCAATATATCTTATCTTTGCAATTAATTTTATCCGGTACAAATTTTGCATACGTAATATTAGTATACGTAGTACATAAAGCGTAACACTATATATGTATAGGTATATTGACATGTTATATAAGTGCAAGAAAATATGAAAGAAATTAATAAAACTAAATCTATACAAGGTGTCCCATTTTAAATAATGCATTAAGATTTCTCGAAAACTATAGTAGATACGGAAAAATGTTTCAAACAAAAGTTGTATGATTCGGAAGGGGACATAAGAAGGTACCATTGATTTAATCTTGGGTGGCGTCGCTAAGGTCAGATCAAGATCACATCAATTTTTTTTAATGGAACATCCTATTTTTTATGGTAGAATTTAATAGCTAGTGCTCGAAAGCTTTTCGAAATTATAAAAAAATATTTTTCATTAAGTATTTTTTGAGTTAAAAAATTTGAAAGTTACAGTATCGTTGGCATTAGCATTAAGGTGTCCGACCAACTAAAACCTCTTGAATGCTGTTTAAAACCATGTCCTGGATATTATTTATCAAAATCAAAGCCAATGGAGATTGTACTTCTTATTTTCATTTTTACAATAAATTTAGTGCAAAAATAAAAATAAGAGGAATAATCTCTAATGGCCTTAATTCGACAAATGTTATCCATGATCTCGACCTTGACCTAATCTTAGCGACGCCACCAAAAATCAAATCAATGGTACCTTCTTATGTTCTCCTCTGAATCATACAACTTTTGTTTGAAATATTTTTTCATATCTATTACATACAATTTTCGAAAAATCTTAATGCATTATTTAAAATGGGACACCCTGTGTGTGTGTGCGTGTGCACATATATATGTATATTTTATTTGTAAAAAAGCAATTTGAATTAGTTACAAAGATTATATTCGATTATAACGTTTTCATTTTCTTGGCAAACCTCTATGTTAATTCATAAAGCTTAATGCCAGATGCGTGTAAATGCAAATATGTGATGTATATATTGCGTTTCCTACTATGTAAATTGCCTACAAATAATTAAAGAAGAACATTTACTTTGTAGAAATTGAGAAAACAATTCTACATGATGTAACAGGACACTTTGAAACAAAAAAAGTCACGATAATTATTGGTCCTTCTGGCGCAGGAAAATCCACCCTGCTAAAAATCATATCGGGCAAACGATTAAATGACGTTAAGGGTACCATCACCGTAAACGGTGTTGAACGAAATAGAGGAATGTTTCGCAAACAGATATGCTATGTGCCGCAACAATACGATTTATTACCGTTCCTCACAACAAGAGAAACTCTTTATATAGCGGCACGATTGAAACTCAATGTTAATCAGAGCAAACAAGCGATTCAATTAGTTGTAAGTAAAATATAAATATACGATAAATATATTATTAAATACTGGGCAACAAAATTAACGCAACACCTGTTTCACTCTGCAAAAATAGGCAAATATTTCGTGTGCTGATAGAGCGGACTAAACTGAAAAGTCCTCAACCATTTTGCAATTTTTGCAATAGTTAACAAGATATTAATTACTAAAAATCGTCGAAATATTGGTCTTCAATAATTTTTTACTCAAATATTATCAACTTTGCAAAAAGACAGCAAGAGACAAATATTATTTATTTTTTTCTCATAGAGCTCTAAGAATTTTTTATAAAACTTTTTAGTACCGCATTTTCTTATTGGCAATTATTTTTACCAACATGAGAAAATGCGGTACTAAAAAATTCTGAAAAAATTCTCAAAACTCTAAGAGAAGAAATTAAATAATTTTTATCTTTTGGTGTTTTCCTGAAAGTTGATAATATTTGAGTAAAAAAATTATTGAAGATTAATATTCGGTAAATTATTATTAATTAATAACTTGTTAACTATTGCAAAAATTGCAAAATAGTACACTTTTCGAATCAGTTTAGCCCGCTCTACCAGCACATGAAATATTTGGCGGTTATTCTAGAACACACTCTATATATGTAATTGTATATAAATATATATATACAATTATTATATATTTTTATATATGTATATTGTTAATATTCCACCATACTTTACAGTATACTTTATAGCTTGCTACGCAAGTAAAGTTATGTATTGATGCATCGCCCACATTAGATATTATTTCTGTCAGGTGAACGATATTGTAAAGAACCTCGGCTTATCATCTTGTCTAAACACATTGGCGAATAAATTGAGCGGTGGCGAACAGAAGAGACTCTCCATCGGCGTAGAAATGATCACCAAACCATCTGTTCTCTTATTAGATGAGCCAACAAGCGGTCTCGACAGTGTGACCTCTAATCAAGTATAGTACAGATAACTAAATCAGCAGCTACATAAATAATGATTATTTTACAAGTTATTTTTTCATTATATTTTACTAATACTTTTATACAATACTTCAGCAATACTGCAGCAATGTTGCAAAATAGATGAAATGTTATAATGTTTCGTTTTGCAATACATCATTAAGTTTTAGCTTTTAATGTACTATTTCCATTTATTAGCTTATTAGCACGCTACATGATATGGCGAGAGAAAATTGCACTGTAGTTTGCGCGATACATCAACCCAGTAGTCAGATAATTTCGCTTTTCGATAACATTATGGTACTCAGCCGAGGCAGATGTATGTACTGCGGTCCCAAGAGTGAGATTTTAAACACGTACAGCATTGCTGGATTCACGTGTCCCAGCTTTTATAATATAGCCGAATATGGTAATGTATATTTTACATATTCAACTTGATAAAAGAATTGTGAGAAGACAAAAAAATTTAAAAAATAGTATTGAGAATAAAACTGTACGCATTTTTCTTATACCTATATTTTTTAACCTTATGACTAGTTTGTTTTTATTAATTTTGCAAATTAATTTTTTTAAATTTATTAAAAAGATACATTCTATAATTAATTTTAAAAAACATACATAACAAATTGTTATTAAAAGCTGTCCAATTTTTTTACTTTGTACTTTAGTTTAGAAATTAAAATGTTTTAAAGGCATAAAATTTGTGCACGCTGTTTAAGAGAAAATGACAATTCTGAATGCAAAAAGTGCAACGCGATTAAGCTTGTAATTAACTCTAGCTATAGACACTCTTTTTTTCTTGATACACACTCGGGTCCTTGGGCTTATATTCTGTAACTGTTTTACCGACAGTTGTCGGAGTGTAGTTGCGCAGATATTTTATATGATGAAAAAGCTGCGCAACGATACCGACAACTGTAAGCGTGTAAAGACAGTTACGGATCGCGCCTCTAGGATTCCATCTATATTTGTTACCGTAACTTGCGTAAAAATGGACATATTTCAATTAATTTTCTTTTCAATCGATTAAGAGAATTGAATAAGGAACAATAGTCCATAATGTGTAAAAGTCAATCAAATTAAGGAGCTTTGACATATATAGGTTCAAAAAAAAAAAGAAAAATTCAAAAACGTGAAAAAATCTCGATTTAGTAAATTGCATTGGAATTTCTGGGACTTCAGTGTGTATAGCTAGAATAAAAAAAAAATAAAGAACAATTGATATTGATTCTTCTTATTGCAGTGCTTGAAGTAATAACCGAACAGAGAGGTGGAGATTTAGAGAATCTATACAAGATCTGTCGTGATGAATACGAAAAGTTCAAATCATGCAGTAAACGCAACAAAAATGGTAAATATATATTGTATATTTTATTATTTAAACGTTTTTTTCTTAAATATCTTGGTTATTTTCAACTTTGATCAATTCATATGATAATCTACTAATAATTTATTAATAATTCCATTAATTAATAATTACATTTCTAATTTACACAATAATCTTTTATTTTACTTGACGATGATTATTGAATAATGAAAGTGTCAATATTTTTTTTATTTATCGAATATCTATACTACATTCTCTACAGAAATATGAATCTTAACACAAATGCAGACTGTTTGATATCTGAGATCAGGCAAAGAGTGCATACAGTAAGCTCTATACATACTGAAGTGAGCCTTCTCTATGTTTGATGATGGAGGGCGATCAATTGTGCGAGAGTGATAGCCATACGTATTGGGTAGAGTCTCTATACCAGAGTTTGTCCCTTAGAACATATATGACAAAGGCCATAGGTGATTATCTATCAGTTATGGGAATTTGGCCTCGCGCAATGCAGAGAATCAGCCTCTCCACTTTTGCTCCACCAATTGATGTCGCGTTCGGCTAGTAGAGAGCTCCAACGTCGAAAGCTCCAACGCCTCTAATATCTATCTGTTCTTATCTGAATGCTTCACCGTAATGCGCATGTGTCAATTATTATTATGTAGAGTTAAGAGTGTTGTACATACTCTCATCTTAGAACATACACATTTAAAGCTCACATATAAATCACGCACAAGCGCACAACAAATAAGCTTTCAAACAAGGACAGATAGATATTGGAGACACTTTTATTGCATTAGTTAGATACAGTATGGCCCTTCCAGTATGTATGTCTAAGGTCTGGCCATTAAAGCCTAGTGAAGAATTAAATGGTGTCTATCACGTAACTTGTCACATATAATTAAGGTACTATAATACGACTGTTTGTATCCGCCATTTTTAATCCTTTTCTCACTCTCTTGCTCCTTTCTTCAATCCCTTGCTCTCTCTCTCTCTCTCTCTCTCTCTCTCTCTCTCTCTCTCTCTCTCTTCACTTCGCCGCTAAATTAAGAAGAAAGAACAAAGAGTAGGGAAGGGACTAAAAATGGCGGATGCGAATACCTATATTATAGTACTCTAAGATAATCAAGCATGATTTAACATATTGAACAAATTGATGCATTGTATGAATCGTCTTATATTTGATATGAATTTGCTGACATTAAAATAGGACACGTTACAAATGCAGCAATATGATTGCTTATGCAATCAGTTGATGATATTTCAAAAACAAAGATTAGCAATAACTTTACATTATGCTGTCAGCAAGATGACAGCAAGATGACAGCAACGTAACAGCAATGAATGATCAATTATTCCATTTTGAGCATTATGACAAAAATATGATGGCAACAAAACATATATAACGATATCCATCCGTTATTGCGTATATGTCTTCTTCAAGTTATGAAATTTTTTAATCGATGCTATCATAGTTTGTTGCTAACAAAATGTTATCACAAAAATTACCCGCGAGCATTATGCAATTCTGCCGACAGAGGGCCATGGCATAAATGTATTAACTCGTAAATAAGAATCACATGGGAAAGAATGTAAGGAGTGCAGCATTTTGCATGTGAAGTGAGCCCAGTATTGTTCTATTGAGCGAAATAACAATTTTCAAAGATTATAATGTAGCGCTAATTATTGATATCAGATCTTTTATATATCTGATACATATCATTTAAATTAAGTATAAATTTTATTTATGGGATTCTAACTTTATGACAAATATACAAAAATAGGTTTTAGTTTTTTAAATGAGATATACTATCATTAAGTAATTCTTAATCAAGGTTTATATATGATTTGGATTGAGTGAGATAACAATTTTTAAAGATTATAATTTAGCGCCCATTATTGATGTCAAATCTTTTGTGCGTGCGTGCGTGCGTGCGTGTGCGTAATATACAAAAATACGTATCACTTAGATTTCATCATATATTTTAATTTAATAAAATTTTTTTTGCAGAGCACTTTTTATCCTTTTTTTTTAAAGGTAAATGTATACTGATATCTCATGCATTTTGTAGTGTTTAACATCTTCTTATATAGACAGTATATAAATTAGTTAATTTATAAATATATTCTTTTCCGATATATAATCTCAGAGAGCAAAAAATATAATTTTTTAAATTCAAAGATTTATATCGATCTGCAAAATACCGACAATTTGATCACTCTAGTTTCCTCTTAATGGAGACATTTTTTACTTTTCATCATAGGAAAAAAGTTTTATGATTAATATCCAGATACATCGACAAGATACCATTAAAGTTTGTCGGCTCTGAGCAAATTTTCGTGACTATCAATGGGGCCTGGGAATAATTGAAGGACAATGTTACCAACAATTAACAATCATTCATGATTATTAACATAAACATTTTAATAATACACTATTAAATTCGTGTTTTTTTATTATATAAATATTGTATAAATAAGTATGCATATTTTTAATGCTATAATATCTTATACAAAATATAATTTTTTTCTTTACAGTTATCATCTCTGTTGATAATCAAACTTGGATGATAACATTAAAATTACAGTTTTAAATAAAAATCGAGTATTATTAAGTTTAAAATATATGTATATAATCATAAAATTAGTACCGTATTATTAGTTTTTTACTCTTAATCACTTTAACAGGTGAACTTTCATAAGCACTTTCAATAGTTATCTCGGCGATGGTGTAGCTAGGGAAGAATCACTCCAGTATGTATTGTTTTTTTTTTTTTTTTATTGAACGTAAAAGAGGAGATACAGCCAGAGGGACAAACCTATTAGGCTGATACTATATAATAATAAAACCTAATAATTACCACAAAGCTTAGATCTAATATATAGGGTGAATCAGCGTCGTTGAACCAACTTTTTACCCTATGAGAAAATTATCGATTTCATACCTATTAGATTATAATGTGCATGTAGTAAAAAATTTTCTCATAGAGTAAAAAGCTGGTTCAACGACTCTGGTTCACTCTGCATATTGCAGGGGAAAGTGTAAGGCTCTTCTCAAAATCACAGGCGGTACCTCCAGTATGTATAGAGCTCACTGATTGCATATGACATCTACTGTATCTTTTACAGAAATATAAATCTTTACAGAAACACAGATTTTTCGATATATGAGATTAGGCAATAAATGTTTTGTGTATAACATAAAATTAATATTATTCGAAAAATATAAAAATAAAAAAAAACAAGATAATTTGTATAAATATGTGAGGAACGATAATTCTTAATAATTAATTTATTTTTTATACATAGAATTAGACTCACCAAATAATTTCAAGCAGAAATTTGAAATACAAAACGATACAAATATAAATAGCACAATACAAAAAAAGTCCACGTGGCAACAACAAAAGATATTATTTTTACGAGCTTTAATCTGCATAAAACGAGATAACGTGAGTACAAATTTTCGAAAGTAATAGGCGAACAGTTCGCTTGTTAAAATCAAAATATGTTATTGTTTTAATTAATCTTTCAGGTTTTGACAAAACTAAGATTGACGGTGCATGTTATAATCGCGCTATTATTAACAGCGCTTTTCTATAATTTTGGTAATGATGCGGGAAAAGTGTACAGTAACATCTCCTGCTTATTTTTTTATCCTTTTTTTTTATTCTTTGCAAATCTTATACCAGTTATTCAAATATGTAAGTAAAATACAATATATCTTTTACATATATAAATACAACATAATACACAATTTATGTAATCATGTCGGCAAATAACTGAATTATACATTACTATCTATAATCTTTTTGATAATTTTAAGAAATTAATAATTGTCTCTTTGACAATATTCTTAACTTATCTCGTTTAAAATTGTGATAAATACGTAAATATTTTGTGAATTTATAAATAATTACATCATGGGCCATTCTCCTACCTATTTCAATTTTTGAGATAAAATTCTTTAAAATTTTTTTGGAAATGTTTATCTTTTGATACGTTTTTGAAAATTCAAGATAGCGGACAGAAAATGACACTCTGATATTTGTGAAAAATTCACCTAGCTGTTGAGCTGTTACGCTTCGACACCTAGCTGTCAAGATATTAATGCTAAAAGTATTTTTAAGTCAGAGGAGATCAAGCGACGAAGATTGTGCTGTCGCTTGCGAGCACGGTTACAATATATATAAGGATGGAAATATCACATTTTTAACTCAAATTTCTATTTATTTCACACTTAAAAAATTAATATAATACTATTTAATAGAGCAATGTTTCAGCTTTAAGAATTTGTTTTTTTAATTGCAATACAATTTTTAATAAGTTATGAGCAATCACAGTCAGAATGTTCCTTTTTACTTAATTCGCAAATAATTCAGGAACAAAAAATCATAGAAACATTAAAAAAAAATGATTTTGTAAGGAAAACTTCATACTTTCACGATATAGATAGTCGAAATTTTCATAAATTTTTTTAGCATGTACAGACCCACAAAGAGAAGAAAAATTTTCATTTTTTTCAGTTCATAATTTTCTATATATAAAAATTACAAAACTCACATAAATTAAAAAATATAGTAATCATTCGAAAGTAGAGATTTCAAGTTTTAAAACTTTTTTGTTTAATTCAAATTTTAATCGTTTTTAACGAAGATATAATATAACGAAGATATATAATTTTGAGCTAACAAAATACTGCAGAACTTTTTCTCCAATCCAATACACACACACACACACACACACACACACACGCACGCACACACACATTGTATAGTATATACACATATACATATATATTAAGTTAGAGAAAAAGTTCTACAGTATATTTTGTTAGCTCAAAATTATATATACATATATGTATGTACATACATATATACATATATACATATATATATATATATATATACATGTATATGCACACACGTGCGCGCGCATGCGCGCGCACACACACACACACACACTTAACTTTTGTATCTGATTATAGTTCCTATGGAAGCAGCAGTATTCTTACAAGAACATTTAAATAATTGGTACTCTTTGAAAGATTATTATAGCGTAAAAGTATTAACCGATTTCCCGATTCAAGTATGTTTCTCAATGCAGGGTTATAGTTTTATAATTATTAATTATATATAAAAAAACTTCTTCTAAAAATGAAGTTTGGACTAAATATAAATGTTACTGTTGTTATTTTACTTTTTTAAGTCAATTAAAGTTTGATTACATTTTATAGATATTTTCCGCTTCATGTTTCCTGTTTATATCTTACTATATGACAGGACAGCCAATGGAATATGAAAGAATTTTAAAGGTATGGGGCATTTGTCTGTTAATTACGATTCTTGGACAAACGTGTGGGATATTTGCAGGCGTGGTTTTTGGCACTGAGGTATTTTACTGATATACTTTTTTTTATATTTAATATTTACGCTGTTAAAAAAGTTACAAGGAAAAAACTACACATGAAAGAAATGGTTGCGATTGACTGATTGCCACGGTCGAAACGCCTATCAATACATTTTTGGTTATAAGAACTACTAAATACGATTTTGATAACTATAGTGCTTTTTCCGTATAATAATTTAATATTACACATATTATTGATATAACATTATATTGGAAAATATTACAGATAATATTGCTATTACCAAATAATTATTTGTAATAGCAATAAGAATTTTATTAGTCCATACGTGTGAGAAGATAATCAATAGAAAATATAATAAATAGGAATTAAAGAAATTCGCCCATAATGATCTTTAATGCTTAAATAATTCAATGTGAATTTGTATTCCTATACTACATACAAGATGTCCGGAATTTAATGTCTAAAGAGTATAGACTCACTTTACGTGCCTTTTATGACCATTTACTGACTATCAAGGGAGGAAAGGACAGTTTTCGTCAATTTTTACAAATGTTTTAAAGCGATCTCGTTATTTAACTTTATCCAAATTGTCTTTACTCACAAATGGCACGTAACATAAATTTACGTGTCATTCCTCGCTTCTGACGTCATGATTCTAACATGACTATTCAGGAGCCTTAAAAATGCAGCTAAATTACTGAAATAACATCACAATTAAATTTTGATGTTCAACAGGCATCTATTAAAACATTAATAGCAATAAGTTATAAATTATATGACTGATTTATAGTAATAAATTTTTCAGTAATTTTTTAATTTTTTTTATTAGCTTGTACCATACAATTCATTTTTATGTTATTTAATACAAAAAGATAACAATTAAATACAATTTCTTTAATTGCAGTTAGGTATATTTCTAATACCGATATGTAGTATACCATTATTGTTGTTCTCTGGATTTTTCTTGAAATTAAATGAAATGCCGACATATCTACAGCCAATAAGCTTTTTAAGTTTTTTCAGGTAGAGACAATTTAACATATACCAACTGTTAATTAAAAACTTTTCGCATTTATATTTATTATTATTTGGACATAATAATAAATTTTTTCAGTATAAATTATTTTTTAATTTATCAAAAATTATTTCTGCTCTTATGTAGAGACATGCTTTTATTTTATTTCCAATTTATTACATTTTTTCAGTAAATTTAAAAAGCATAAAATTTTATTGTAGATTTGCGTTTGAAGGAATAATGCAGGCGATCTATCTTGACCGACCAAAACTACCATGCTCTGAAGCCTATTGTCACTTGCGTTCCTCAAATAAGATTCTTTCATTAATGGGTATGCCAACAATGCCATTTTATTTAATTCTGATAATACTTGGTTCTTGGATACTCTGTTTACACGTGATTGTCTATGTAACACTCCTATGGAAAATTTATTATGCAAAAAAATAATGTATTATATTTCATTAATTTTTATCTCAAACAAAAAAGTATTCTTAAAATATATTTTAAAGAAAAAATTACCCTTAAATAAATTGAGAAAAAAAATACCGACCGCGTTAAAACTTTTTTATCTGCTCATCATCCCTAATACCGATTGTTAAAACATCATAAAATAATATCGTGTGTTGTTGGAATTTCATAATGCGATTGAATCACTTTGAGGGAACACTCTTAAAATTATAAAGAAATAAAAAATTACAAAAATTAATTTTGTAACGTCCTAGAAACTAAAAATCCATCTTTAATGAAACGCTAACATCAATAGAAGAGAAGTTCGTTTTTAACTTTTTGTATAATTCTGCAAATATATGAATATTATTTTTAAATACATACTTGTAATACTATAAATGATATTTATATATGTATTTTGTATAAAATTTTACTTTATTCTTGTTATTTTTTTGCTTTTATTTTTAAAAAATTAGTTGGTCGAAGAGCGCGTAACTGAGAAGAAGTATATTTGAATCGAAATATTTCCAAAATTTATATCGTGTTTCATTTTTAATACACTTTATTGCAATCACGTTTTATTTTTAATGATAGAAAAATATAATAATTGTTTTTCCGATTTTTCTTGAAGTTTTGTTTCTTCTTCTGGGCTGAAATTCATCGCTTGATCGAATATCTGGCGTATCATTTTATTAATAATTGTACGGAAGATTGAGAATTTTAAAACGTAACGCAATAAAAATCTGAAATAATTAAAAAAAATAATACTATAGAAAAATATACGTAATTTATAATACTATATATAATCATTGTATGATACACTGTATATTTAATATTCTGCTATGTAGAACTATTAACTTTACGTTAATAAAGTATTTACATGCTCACCTCCAGCTTTTATAAGTAATCCATTCCATGTAATTCATTGATGTATATAAATGCGTCATGTTGATATTTATCGTATCCATTGCTAATAATGCCATCACTTTATAAGGCATATAGATCCAAGGATAGTAATTCAGTGGTTCGACGAGACATCTCGTCATGTGCTCCCATTCGGGTGTAACATCCTTAAAATTAGGTACTATCCAATATTGATAAAAATCTCGAGCGCGTTGTTTTATTTCATCGAGACTGCCACGACAAAAGTTGTGCCTAAAGAGAAATTATAAAATATACAAATTTTAAAAAGTATCTAAAATATTACAATTTTTACTATTGTTAAGTATATATACTCATTCTCCATCCCGAGATAATATCCGTAACATCTCCACATATGACAAAAGGCTTCCATATCTTCATTGGTCGCATTATGCACTCCGATCTTTTCTGGACAGAGCAAAATTAAACTTATAAAACTGCATTGTGTACTTGCCATGTCCGCATTATTCATGCCTTTCGGCTTGTATGGCGATTTGTCAAATGTGATATAAGGACGTTGTCCGTGTTGTTCAAGCGGACATGCCGCGACGAAATCTTTTAGAAAAAATTCGCGATCTGGGCACCACGGCTCCGCGATTTTGGACTCGTTATCGATTTGCTCGTTATCGAGTTTGTGCAATTTTTCTTGAATCATTAAATGCATTCTGCGCGCAAATTGCATGTCTTTATAAGCTGGCGTTCCTTCAATCCAAGGCTCTCCATTGTACCAACTAAAGAATCGTTGTATGGTCGAGGAATATCTTGTGGAAATTAATTACATTATAATCAAAAACATTATAAATTAAAAAAGTATACATTAATTGATAATATCATATCACGAAATTGGCGTATATGATATAGTAAAATTTAAAATGAACACGGGATAAATATTAGATAGTTTAAAAATACTATAGCAGATAATTTCGTGAAAAATTAGTTTACAATTAGCTGACAATTTCTCTGCTCAATATTAGCATTAGTTACAAATCTTGTCTCTCTATATATAATAAGTCAAAGTATGTATCCAGTAAAACAATTAAGATTTAATTGTAAAGTACTAAATTAAAAAAGTACCTTTTAAATCCTAAATATGGCGTATGAGAACGCTTTGATATGATTATTGGTTTTAGAGCCATCTCAAAAGAATACACATGCATAATTCCTAGTATTTTGGCAATGAGAAATGAAGTGTAATTTTCACGCACAAATTTCTGTCCCCTGCGGTATTTATCCACGTCCAACCATTCTGGTATTTCCACAAATGATCGACTGTAATTTCCTTGGCGAAAAGAAGCTGGAATGAAGTCCAACAATGACTTTGGAACATTTGGAAAGAATGTAGCGATGTTCTCATTTATCCATACACATTGCTTCTGTACAGTCCAGGTGTCGAAGTCGTTTGGAAATAATTCTCGATCGAATGTGCTCTTCAACATCATTACGTATCTATATTCACTTGAACTTTTCATACTTATGGAATCTCCAATATCCATAAACATACTGTTAAAAACTATTATATTTTATACGAAGATTCGTTATATGCAAACAAAGAATTGCTAAATATTATTCAAGCTGATGACTTATTTCTTTCATCATCCTTTTTATATAATGTTTATCCAAGTTTATTTTCACATCTTCTGGTTACTAATTTCTTCTTCTTCTTCTTCTTTTTTAATTAATCCCGCAGCCTAACTTATACTGAGCCACTGATGGAATTAAATAAATCGTAAAATCGAAATGCAATGCACCTCGAATCGGGTAAGTAGAACAAAAAGATGATGTAATCAAAATAGAAATGGCGAAGTGTCTTTTCAGACACTGGGCATCTGCGACTACGACACTTCTGCCCCGCACGGACGCGCATCCAGATGTATAAAGGAACTGTGAGTAGTGTGATGCAATTGCACAGTCAAATGGTCAGACGTAAAAAATGTAATCAAAGTGACGCAACAAGAGGACGTTCGGTTCGCTCGAGTGGTCTCACAAGACTTTTCTGATTAATGACAGTAAAAAAAGTAATTTATATTAATGTCGATTTAATGCTGATTCACTGTTGATGTGATAAGTCTCATCGGCATCCGTGAAGTCTCGTGGGAGGGGAACGGTATTTATAGTCCCTTTTTATTTGAAGGCCATCTTAAGTAATGTCTTAAAAATGAAAATAAACAATCCTTTCAAGGCTAATAAGAGTTAAAGTCGATGAAGGTACCAACGATTAAATTATACCCAGTGAGAAATGGAAACAATATTAAATCGATGTTAATTTGACGTCAAAGCATACTATATCTATTGCACTGCTGTAACATATTGTGACATGGATCTTAATAAGGCGATACTGACGCTCGAGAAACAAAATCCAGATCACCGTTAGTATTCTATGCTAATCAATCTATCAATATTAATTGCTAGACTACGGATATTTATGCAAAATATTTATAACTGAATATTATATTTTGCATAAACTTTACCAATTTTCTATAAATTTTATCAATTTTCTTAAATTTTCTAGTCGGTAAATTATGTGAAGAAACTACTAAACCTCATCTACTTTCATCTCAAATCTTGGAGAGAATCAATCATACCACTATTACTCGCTTTGTAAATTAAAATATAAAAATCTTATAGCCAAGAGAATCCCACGAGTTTTATTACTTGTAACAGATGCAGCTGCATGTGTTAAAAGCTGGAAGAGATCTTAAAATCTTTTATCCAAACATTATACACTTAACATGCTTGGTGCATGGATTCAATAGAGTAGCTGAAAAAGTTTGCCTTCACTTTTCTCTTGTTACTACTATAATATCTTCAATAAAAAAAATATTTCTGAAAGCTTCGCTTCGTATAGAAGGAATATCGAGCAAAATTGATAAATATTCCATTACTACCTAAACCAATTTAGACAAGATGGGGACTATGGCTTGAAGCTGCACTTTTTTATGCAGATAATTTAACATGGCTTTCGAGAGGTATGCATTAATTTATTTTTTGTCCAATAATTAAAAATAAAATTGAACTTGATAAAATAAAATTGTGATTTGATCACAGGTTATTAAGTCTTTCAATTCAGAAAATGCTACGTTGATTGTTTCAGCAAAGAGTGTGCTTCAAAATCCACAGCTTATCAGAGATTTATTTTGCATATTGTGAATATATACTGCATAAATAATGCATTTTTTGTGCAGCGTATATTTTGCATATCTCGATATGCATCTATTAAATAATCTAAAATTGTTAGTTCAGTAAAGATCTTTTGTTATCATCTAAATCTAAAAAAAATGTTATACTGCATAAAAATCCGCAGTCTATTAATCACATACAGTTGATAATAACGTCCAGTATTTTTTAATACTAATAGTATTATTAATCATGTAGGGTCAGCTTAAGATGTACTTAAAATGTAGGTTTTAAATATATAAGATCCGACTATATATTATATGTATACAGCCATGGATAAATTAAGATACTTTTTTACAACTTTAATAAATTTTCACTTGATTTTATACACTTAAATTTATTTTTTTAACAAACTTCACTTGTACAATTTTTACTACGTTATTTTTTTTTTGCTAACGATCGCGGATACCGCGATAGCTTTCTCGTGTTGATCACATATTATTTTAATCACATACTTCATGCTTATTTCAT